TAGCTTAGGTACGAGGAGCGTCGCTGCAGAGCGAATGAGGAAACCAAAAAACACCCACAAGGAGAATGTGGGGGAGAGAGAGAGAGAGAGAAGCAACCAGCTTAACCATGAAAGTTATTTATTGCCAGGTAATAACCACAGGGGAGTCAAACAAAACAGCGATAATATTAAATTGAACAAACTTAATTGTAAAAGTCAGGTTTAGAAGCTATAACTGATCCCACAAGTCAAGGTCAGAAGGCTACACCGAGAGAGAGAGAGAGAGAGAGAGCTGGGTTCTCACCACTGCATGAAGCTTGAATCGATCGGGGGTCCTGGGTGGTGGGGGTAGCTGAGGGTCCGGAGTGCTGGAGACAGGCAGAGCCCCCAGCACAATCAGTCAGGAGAAGATGAAGTCCCAATGGAACTGATGCAGATTTTGGATCCAGGTATCAGAACACTTACTTGAGCGTGGGTAGGGGTTTCTGTAGAGAAACAACAATGGTTCAAGGGAGAACACAAGGGAGAATACCAAGGTTGTTTTGTTCAGGCTAGACATGGGAGCTGATCATTCCTGGCTTTGGGTGGTGTCCCTTGGAGGGAGCTCAAAATGCAATTAGGCTGCTTCAGTATTTTGGATATCAATCAAGGATTTATGACTAGAATTGGTCTGCTAACTGCTGAACTGGGTGTGTGCAGTGCAGGTGTGGGTTCAGTGACATCTGGAGCAGAGATCCCCCCATAATGCAGTGCTTCCCTGCTTTCCTGGTCCCAGAGTTCCATGCGGTTCTTGCCTTGGAATCTCTGGTCTCCATTCTGTACGCTAATGGAGATGCCTCACTGTCCTATCTTTGATGCAAATGAGCCCAGGGGAATTTCCTTAATCCTGTCACCCTTATCCCAGGGGCTTAGGTGTCTCCCATGGCCTTGTCATTGCTTTTTGTAAGTCTTTCTTCTGATGCAGATTTGGTTCAAGCAGAGGCTGGGGGGCGGGGGAAGGTCTTTCGTGAGTCAGCCAGGCTGGGTGCTGCGCCCTGGTTCCCCAAGAACACAGAGCTGCTAGGTGTAACAGCCTCCAGCCCAAGGCTTCCCCACCAGCGGAAGGGCTGCTAGGGAACCAGCAGGGTTAGGTGACAAAGTATCACTTGGGTCTCCTTTCTCCGCCATGTGCTGACATGCTCACAGAATTCTAGCGGATCGGAGAGGCGCGACTTTCCCTTGCAGAGCCCGGGCAGGCTTGTCCCTGGCGTTTCGTGATCGCTCTGTGACTGGAACACGGGGCCCACATTTTAAAAAGGAAGTTGAAAACTTGGCGAGGGTGCAGGAGAGTGCTACAGCGATAACTCGAGGCACTGAAAGATGGGCATCACTCAATACTGTAGAGGGGGATCAACACAGGGAGAAGCTACCAGGCACTACGCGGAATCTCTGACAGAACAAGAGACCGGGGCTGGAAGTTAAAGCCAGACAAATAGAAGTTAAAAACGTGTCGTCTTTCTAACAGGCAGGGCAGTTAAGCATTGCAACAAACGGCCACCAAGTGGTGGATTCTCCATCTCTGCCGTCTTCACATCAACACGGGGTGCTTTTCTGGAGGAGCTGCCTCAGCCAGACACAAACAGCTGGGCTTGGAACAGGCGGAGCTGGGGCAGGAGGTCAGGCTAATGGTCCCTTCTAGCCTTAAAGATCTATGGGTGAACTCCTAGTTACAGGGAAGCCAGCAGGAACTTTGCCATTGACTTCCATGGGGCCAAAGATTTCACCCAATGGAGCATTTCAGCTAGTTTCCTGAGCCCTGCGATGAGACTGGCTGTGACTTCCCGGATCACGGGCAGCACCTTTTTAACGGCTGGTGCAATCAGGGGTCCCAGGTACCACGCCCTCTGGTGCAGATCACATAGTATTACTGGCAGCTTATCCCACCTGGTGCTGGGGACTGTCAGCGCCTTGACAGCTTGTTCCCAGCACCCCCTCTCCGTCACCCCAATGCCTCCTCCCTTCTCTGCAGTGCCGGAAAAGAGCAAGTCTGGGATCGGTCCCCCGACCCTGCCGCAGTGAAGGCTGATGCAAAGAAGTGACTGGCTGTGCAGCCTCCTTTTCCTTGTTCGTTGCTCCCAGAGCCCAGCCCAGCCCAGGTGCTGGACATGGCATCTGGCCAGGGCACAAGACAGTGGGGTCACCCTGTGACGTTCCCCTGGTGTTGTCTGGACCGGTGATCTGCTAGGTCACTCCAACCCTTGACTCTGGGAGCCAGCCTTCCCCTGCTGTGCTGCGAGAACCCCCATTTCACGCACAGCCTCTAGCATGTAAGCTGCTCCCAGCTATGTCAGTGAGCACTTTTGGCCAGTCGCTCCTTGGATTGTGCAAGCTAATGACACTAGCCAATATCTCCAGTCCCAGACACAACCCTAGGAACCTCTGTCTTGCAGTGTCCAGTTATGCCTGCTGGACGCGGCAAGCTAATATGAGTTTGTCAATTTAACAAAGAAATTGATATGTACCAGGCTTGTTATCCCAAGGGGTCTCTCTGACATGCTTCAAACCAAATGCACTGCTTCAGGTAGAACAAACAAACAGATTTATTAACTATAAAGATAAATTTTAAGTTATTATAAGTCAAAAGATACAAAAAAAAAAAA